TAGACGAATAGGCTTTGACACCGCGCTCTCTCCACCTTTCATTTGCGAGGCTAAATGCTGAGCAATGGTTTATAGCTACTTCATGCGTGTCTAGCTTTGCTCCTCTGGGATTATATCATCACCCTGTGAGTCGTGTTCCCGCGGCCCAACGGCGGTTTCCAGGCGGTTTCAGCTCGCTCTCTTGGCCTCGACGGATTACTCATTTTTTTGACGCACACAGCAAAGACGAAGTCGATGATGTATGGAAACGAGCCCCCCGATTCTCCCTTGCTAAAGTATTATTCGCATTGGTGAGCTTATCTCGTTTGGGATGGATGACTCTTTCCGCTGACGTCCCACACTCAGAATCGATATTACCCTATTATAACTTATTTAGTACGAGTTATCATTTTCAACATGGAGGTTATGACCCCTTTTGTAAGTGTGATGTCCTCCCACCGTCTTCCAAACTGACCCGGTTCCAGGTGTGAGTATCCCTTCCTCCAGCCAGTTCGTCATGTGGTATTCAACTCTTCAACTCCTTTCGCTGTAGATGCAAAGTCTGGATTCCATTCACCGGATGGAGTGGTACCGTGAGTACAGCCAAGCCTTCGCGGCCATTTTGCTAAACCCTCGGCAGCTCAATTTTGCCATAGTCGAAGTAGTTCTATTCCTTCGAGTATGGGCTCTGTATGATAAGAGCAAAAAAGTCGGAATCTTTTTGGTTCTCCTATTCGTATCGGCCATCGCGGTGACTTTTGCTCTTAGAAGGGTGCACCCCGATGTAAGTAGGGTATGGAGGGTCTCATCGTTCCAGTAACATGCATACTTATTCTTGTTAATTATCTAGGGTCTGGGCCTTGCTCCACTCCGTACGTTTTACCTACCAAACTCCGGTCATTCACCTTACATCGCCATTTAGCTCCGGCTTCCCTTTTAGTATGTAAAAGATCAACAGCCGAAGAATACTTCTTTCTCTATTTCATCGCGATGCTGGTAGAAGTACGTATAAACGACGCTTCCTGAAGACTTTTGCTCACAAGACTTTCCGAATAGACCATCGTGTTTGGAATGCTCATCAACAAGGCATGGGCATCTTCTCTGGGTCGCCACGAAACACCATTGATCAATGCCCTACTAAGACAGTCAGTCTTCCCCGTATAGCTCTCCTTCCTACAGCTGGCTCACACCACTTTATTAGTGGGACAGTGTATTATGCTGCAGTGCTTTGTATGTCCAGCAAGTGGCGTTTAGGGGAAAGCTCATCGTTTATTACAGTCACTCTCGTATTTGCGATTTTCTCAACATCGACAGCCTCGGCAAGTCACCGTTTCACCCTTGATGCCCTTGAACGCGAGCTAATATGCGTTTCTTATAGACATTTCAGCCGGTGGCTGATTCAAAGTGAGCCTCTCTTCGTAACAAGGGTACCCATCTAATCATCCATTCTCAGTCTCATTGTGGCCATCGCGTCCATTGCGTGCAATCGCCTCATATTATCACTTCGGGGTTTCTACTTCCAGCGCGGAGTTGTGACCACCACTAATATGATGACCACTCCCAGCTTCGGAGGTACGAACTGATTCGACACCTGCTTTTCGAATTTCCATTCTGAAATCAAATTCTGTCTTTATAAATAGGAGCCGTCCATATCAAGATGGATCGTCTTAATCGGGAGAGGACGTCGAGGCCCCACATAAGAGGGATGACAGCTCGGCGGTCCTCTCAACCGCGCAATGATACCTTTGACCGACAACTTGAAACGGTTGAATATAGAGGTTCAGCTCCATTACAAGACGACGATACCGTCGTCGTAAGCGGGGTCTCCGCTCCGTCGACTTCTTCTCAACCCAGTCGATGAGTATGGATCATGTACAGGCCACGAAAAAGTAACTTATGATAATAAACTATTGTTTTTATGACGAGCAAACGCCGGCTCTCGGAAATTTCCGAGTTGGAGAATGCTATGGAAAAGTGGACTCTTGTTATGTTTACCGTGTATTGGACAGGAGCGCCCTTAATCGCGATAGTCTTTTCACCTTCGATGTGATCGGGTGACCGCTAACCATGAAACGATCGAGTCGCTTTCTATGCGTGGAAGGCTTGTTATGGAGGGGTCGGTGGGCGTATGCCTTTTTAGTGGCTGGCGTGCCCCTGAAGAAATGTTGATAACAAATACTGGAATGCTGCTGGAATATCTGATCAAATTTGAGCTTTGTGTGTATGTCTGCAATGTAGTCGTGAATGTGGGTGGCTCCATGAGCGGGTCCGCCGCTCAAACATTCCATGGCTCGCATTTGACATACGTACCACTCAAACGCCGCAGACAAGGCTTTATTAGGTCTCTCCTAACCACCTCCAACATTCTTCAGACTCGGTTTTCTTCCCTCTCTTTTCCTCTTCTCTCCTCTCTTTAATACTCGTCCACATTCCAGTCTTTCTAGAGCTCGCCCTAGCTTATCATCTTACTTTCTTCAAACAATGGTACTATGCGCAATAAGAGTGTTTTGGTCACTTTGCTAACGAACGTACAACAGTACTTTTACGGATTTTGGGAACCCAAGTTTCTCTCTGGTGCCGCACAAGCCGACCAAGGTTCATCTCCTGCCCCGATGGAACCCAGGTTCTCTGAGACGTCCACCTCGGTCTCTACTCGTCATCAGAGCACTTTGGTAAGTGTAGCGCGAGGCAAGTATTTGCGACGCACACGACTGACTTGCATTCCAGGGCAAATCGTGCAAGGTGCCATACCGCGCAAAAATGGTCCATAGCCCACCCCCACCACCCCCAAAAGGTTCCTTCCCTCTCCTACATACCGCCTGTGAGATGTGTGCTACTGTAGAAGAGGGGAGATCCTGCGACGTTGGGAGAGGACCAGGACGACAAGCGATAGTCTGCAAGGTCGACAATGCTTGTCGATGCGGTCGAGACGCGGGAATAAACTGAAGGTTTGCGGGAGTGGTTCATGTTCGGTGGACCCTGAGAGTTCTGGAGATAGGATGAAGGCGGATGAACAGAACGAAGGAGTATGAGGTTGGTTCTCTGGGAGACAGTTGGGCTCTGCGCGTGCTCCTGATAGGTAGGTGGCTGGTCATCAAACGCCGAACCGTTTGTCACGGTGCATTCTGACAGTGTATTAGGGAAGTCAGATGAGCCGCGGGTGTACATGGCGCCATATGTGCTACTACCATATCCAAATTCGGACGAGGGGCGTT